GATTTCTTGTTTTTCTTTCTCAGTGGTATTCTCAGTTTTTCTTTCTCAATGGTCTGGGCTTCTATGATCATACTTTTTAGAGTTTCCCAAGATTCTTGAGTTGTTTTCCCCTTTAGGATTTTCATCCATGGAATCTTTCCCAAGTTCTCTCTGAGTTTATTGAAATCAGCTCTTTCAAAATCCAAGACTCTGGTGTCATTATGTTCTGTTGCTTGTGTTTGTGTTATATTGAATTCTAGTATGACATGATCACTCTCACCCAAGGTTCCTGCAGTTTCAACTCCTTCTATCACTTCTTCTCCGTTTGTAAGAATTAAGTCCAGTATGGCTGTCCCTCTAGTTTCACCCTCTAACTTTTGGACAACAAAGTTGTCAGCTAGGTTGGTTAGGAACTTATTTGATTTCTCACTTGGTGCAGAATTAGTTTTCAAATTGATATCAGCATAATTGAAGTCTCCCATTACTATTGTTGTATGTTTCCTGCATATGTTTGTTAGTTGGCTGGCAAAAAGGACATCTATATTTTCTGCTTGATTGGGTGGCCTATAATATACACCTATGGCCATGTCATTCTTTTTTTCTTTTATATTGACCCATATGCATTCTAGGAGGTTTTCATCTTTGGTTTCATGCATTTCTGTAGCAATATAGTGGTCCTTTACATACAGTGCAACTCCACCTCCTCTTTTATGGGGTCTGGGTTTGGTTTTTTTTGAATAGTTTGTAGCCTTCTAACAGTATGTTCCAGTCATGGGTTTCATCCCACCAAGTTTCTGTTATTCCAACTATATCATATTTACCTTCATGTATTCGTAGTTCGAGTTCACCCTGTTTGTTCCCCAGACTTTGTGCATTTGTATATAGGCACTTGAGATCTTTATGTCTGACACTGTGTTTACTGTCTACATAACCTGTGTTGTGCCTGGCTGTCCCTACTTTCTTGCCACCTGTTTGATTAGTGCACATGATATGGCACTCACTATTAAATGTTTGGTTTGGGTTGACATCAAGGTTGATAATCTTACCTGCACAAACATCTATTTTGCATGCACTGTATCCTTATTAGTTTTAGGTTGCTGGGGACAGAGATGTTCTGCATCCATTAATTCTCTGTCCCCGCTGTTCAGTTTAAATGTTTATCCAGGAAATCTGTGAATTTAATGCCAAGTAACTCAGTCCCCTTCTTTGATGGATGCAAACCATCTCTTTTATACAGTTTTTCATTGGACGAGCTGCAGGAATCATGACTAATAAAACCAAAACCTTCCCTTTTACACCATTCCTTTAGCCACACACACCACTCCTTCAGCCACACTTTCAAAATTCTGTTGCTTTGCTGTTGTTGTTTTTAATGGACATTTGTGCAGTATTTTGTAAGTAAGTGTAATTAAGGGAGCAAGTGACAAACAAACCATCCTTTGCAAACCACAATGGCTGGATTCAGGCGAGACAGTAAACCATACCCTAGCCAGCTACATTATGATTTGCTGCGATTCATGAAACAAACAGCAGGATGAAAATCAAAATTCATAGAATGTGACTCAAGAATAGATGGCTTTATATCCGTATTCTATCATCATTCCTATTTAACATGAAATCTTGTTGATGGAGAATCGGTGCTCTTTCAGCAAGTTTGAAGAATTGGACAAACAACCAAAGTTCATTAAAAAAATATTTTCAATCAGACAGTTCCTGGTAACATATTCATGATAGTGACTGTGAGCACGCACACACACACACACACACACAGACACACACACATGGGGGGGAGAGAGAGAGAGAGAGAGAGATGCACCATCTTCCTTCTCAAGATGCAGGACATATTTATTAAAAAGAAAATCCTGCTTTCAGCACAAAGATTAATGCAAGGCTATACCAAAAGCTAGCCAGAGCCTCTTTCAATTCTTAACCTGTACATTTGTTGAATTTAAAGATCGAAAATCTACCTGGAAACTGAGGTGTTTTTTTTTTTAAAAAAAAGGGTTAAAATTCTCTCCTGTTGAGAGAAATAATGAAGCCCCAAACACCACTTTCTGCACAAACCCTTTTGAAATGAATAAGAACAGCCAACCAGCCCCACTGTCTACAGATTACAAATGTAATAAATAAATTCACAAATATGTATCCTAAAGAAATGAAGAAAATATAATGCAGACCAGCTGGGCCTTAGCCAATTAAAAATATGTATATATTAGTCAATTACGTTTTGGAGTTTTAGAATCCCATATGCTCATAATCTGAAATGTTTAATGTGAAGAGCATCACGACTCTTGCCCATATGTTGTTCAGCCTGATAATTCTCCAAAAAATCCATCCCAGAAGAAAATCCCACATCCATCCCCAGAAGGGAGTGAGAAGGGGCAGATATGGTCACCTTCTGCATTCTCAGTACATCCCCTTTTCTCCAATCACATGACCTAGAGTGGAACTACTTTTAAAAGACTAAAAAGAATTTAAAAACTATGATTTGCATGTTCTCCTATTGTCAGAGCCTTTTGAGACAAAGCAGGTCACAAAACAGATATTACACCAAGTCTATCTTATTGTAGGGTGTAATAACAGAATTGTAATGACCCGGGGTGTGTCACGAAAGCAACAAAGTCACAAAAATAGGTAAAGTCTCTTTAATACCTCCAACTTGCTCCCCAATGTCCAGTTATCATTGGCTGGAGAAAAAACTCTCCCAAGAACAGTTTTTAAAGGGAAGAAATTCAGTCTGAACCCAAAGTACATATAAATTATAAAAAAAAAAAAAACAACTCAAACCACTTTGCAGCAATTAATGAGACAGGGCAGGATAAGCAATTGAAAACTTCAAAAGATAACGAAACACACACAGTTGGGAGAATGCCAGAACCCAGATAAGACTTGACAAACAAAGATAATTCGCGCTTTGCTTCCAGCAAGGTGCTGTGCGCAAACGCCCTTTTTAAATCCTGTTTTCCCAGCTGCAGCCAATGAAGGGAATCAGGGCCCTTTTCTCCCCCGTAACCCATGTAACTCACATTGCTCCCTTCTCTGTTCCTCCCTGAATGCCCTAGGATGAAGAGGGAGTGGCTCTGGGTCTTCCTCTGAATGTCCAGCTGGACTGTGCCCTTCCCGAATTTCTTCCACAGCCACTGAAGCCACACTCCCACTCCCTGTCAGCTGCTCGACCTCCCCCTCAGAATCAGGTTCCATCAGGGGCATGACAAGAATCTTAAAAACTGACAGGAAACTACCTCCCCTGTTAGTCTAAAGAATCAAGAAGAAATAAATCTTGAGGGGTTTTTCCTTACTCCACCTGTATATCTGGGCAAAGCTTATGTTCATGTAACATTTGCATTCCTTCTTCAAGGCCATCTCCATGCTCAACTATACAGGTAGTACTCGTTCAGTGACCACAATGGGTTCCAATGAAATGGGCACTAAGTGCTAACCTTCTCTGATAGATGATCATACCTCTGTAATATTCTTATCATTTTTTATTTTAATGCTCACCCCGGATTCAGTAGCCAAGAGATTCTTCACAATGTTAGCTTCACAGATGGAAGGAAGACTTTAAGACAGTCAGTTCTTTGGCATAATCTCAGATTGTATATCAATTTCATAAATTTAATTAATAAGTAAAATGAACTATGGAGTTTACTGGGAGGTTTTATATCAGCTACTTTGTCCTATCCAAATATCATCAACACAATATGATGGAGTATTTGTGTCCAGTTCTAGTCATCTTCAAAGGCATTTACTGGAATTATGTGACCTTCATACTTGTGTCTGACATCAGAACAAAAGTACAGAAAAGGAGAATGATACTGTGGCATCAACATGTGTTTTAATTTTATCACATTTGCATCTACCACAGATCTCTAGGTCTTGTTCTCAAAAAATATATAAAAAGTACCATTAAATAGGAGTTAATATTACTATTATATTTCGCGAATATTTCAAGTCAGTTCTTTATCTTAAAAACATACTCACTATAGTAGTGAAAAAAACATTAGCCATATGTTTGCATCTTTACTTTATGGAAATTAGTAGGGCTTGCTTCTTAATAATTGTACAATAATGGTTAGCAGTAATTTCTAGACTAACAGTGGTAATTCTGGACTAATAATGTCCTGCAGAATATGTTAGCCTGTCTTATTTATTTCACTTACATTCAACTTTGGTTCCAAGGTATAAATGTGTGTTTATTCTTTTTTGCTATCTCTCCATTTTATTTTCACAACCTGCTAGGTTGAATCATGTTGAAAGATGTTGGCTCAAAAATATCCAATGCCTTTCCTAATCAAGAAAGGATTTGAATATTTTCTGGTTCACATCTGGCACCGTAATCATGAGAGCGCCTTAAAATATCTGTAAGTTTTCTAGTCACCAAATTATGCTAATCAATCTGGATAACTTAGAATAGGATAGGATAGGATAGGATAGGGTAGGGTAGGGTAGGGTAGGGTAGGATAGGATAGGATAGGATAGGATAGGATAGGATAGGATAGGATAGGATAGGATAG